TGTTTTTATTTTGGGATATGGTTTCCCTGTAGTCCCAGCTGACCTAGAACTTGCTGTGTAGACCAGGCTGGCCTCAATTTCACAGAGATCCACCTGCCTCTGCTTTCCTAGTGCTGATTAAAGGTGTGTGCGCCCCTGGGCCTGGCTCCACATGTATTTAGACTAATAAATTCTCAGCATATTTATTTCTGTGTTTGTACTAGATCATTTGCATCACTTCATTGTTTTTGCAGTGTTTGGGATTGAACCCACAGTCTCTCACATGGTAGGCAAGCATTAGGCCACTGGGTTATATCCTCAGACCAGGAACTAATTCCTTGTGTTATTGTCAACATGAATACCAGTAAGCTGAGCAAAAGGCACAAAAAAGCAATTAATTTAGAATGTCAAAACTCTAGATGGAGTTTTTACAGAAACAAATCATTGTTCAAAAAACTATCTTCACTTTCCACTCCAATTTCTTCCCTAAAATATCAAATAATATTTAGTCCTTAGCTTCTCTTTCTCCCTTTGTTTGGAAGGAGCTGGGATCCCCAGGCAGAGCAGACTCTCTCAGTGCTGATTGCCAATCAGAAACAGGACGCCCGTCTCCCTTGCCACACCGTCTCCGCTGCGTGGACACATTTAGGGGGTATGTGGCGTTCCCTTGTAACATGGTGGGTACAGGTCCTTGTCAGATTGTGTAATTTACACATAAGCACACAATAAACTTACAACATTCTCCATATTTTTTATTTTCTAGGTTAGAAAAGATTTATTTGATATAATAATAAAGTCAGGCTGGGTGTAGTGGTGCATACCTATGATCTCTGCACTCAGAAGGCTGAGGCAGGAGGATTGCTAAGCGTTCAAAGCCAGCCTGGGCTACCAAGCAAGGCCCTTTCTCAAAAGACAAAAATAGTGTTGGCAGCCTCTCCTAACTTGAAAATTTTCATGATAAGAGGCTAGAGCTTAGAGGACCACTTACCTCACTTGCACAAGGCCCTGAGGTCATTCCCCAGCAACAGAAAGCAAACAGATGATGCAGAAAAGACAGAATTTGTATATATTGAGAGAGAAGAGTGGTGGCATAGGCCAGAACCAGTTTCCACTAGTATGTGCAGTAGTCTGGGCAAGTGGCTGTGCTTGGGACCACAGTCTGTCTCATTATGTCCACTAAGTAGCCTGGTAGCTTTGAAGATATAGAACTGAGTCAGTGTAGGAAAGAGTAACTTCTTACCCATCACTAGCAGAATACCTTGGATAACAAGCCTTTTTGACCACAGATCCACAATAATGTATCATAAGTTGTTACTGTTCTTTACTTCTTTACTTGGTCGAAGAGTGATGGCCAGAAACAAACTCTGAAAAACTGTGTAACTGTGTAGCAGAAAATAAAGTGTGTAGGTATCATTTCCCCCATTTCTGCCAGCTGAGAATTCTGTTTGCTATGTTTATTTATAGGTGGCTTTCCTTATTCAAGATGCTGCAGCCAGAGTGTTTCAGATTTTGGAATGTTTCCATGAATATAACAAGAAATCTTGGGGATGTGGGTCTAAGTCTAAACACAGATTTAGTTTTCTTTCATGTACACCTTATATACATAACCTGAAAGTAATTTTAGACAGTGTTTTGGGTGTACCTGTGCTCTTTGGGTTTTGTGGATTTTTCTTTTGGGGGTAGAGACAAGGGGTTTTGGGGACTTGACTTAAGGGGTCACATGTGGAAAGCACGACCTGCTCCACCTCCAGCCCTGTGCCTGCACTTCCACTCTGAGCTGTCATGGCATCAGACGTGCGATTCTCCACTTAGGACATCATGTCCACACTCTGAAATGCCTGTATTTTAGAGCATTTCAGGTTTCAAATTAACAAAACTGCTGGTAAAATCAATCACAATACTATAAAATTAGTAACCATTTTATAGTTTTCTATGCCTATCACAACTCTAACTTGCCTTATTTGATCTCTTAGTAATACCATGAGCTGTGTCCTTTCACTGGGTCTGTTTCACAGATGAAACACGGAGCCATTGAATTGAGCAACTTTCCCAGTCTCGGCTTGCTAAAAATGGGAAAGCGAGGATTTGATTTTAAGCAGTTGAGTTAGAAGACATGCAAATTACCCCTTTAGCATGTGTAAGTCTTATATTCTGCATGGTTAGTGGTGTTCAGAATCCATCATATCTACTCCTCTTTCTTTCCTATCATCACTGACACTTTTGGGCATAAGAGGTTCACAAGTAGAAAGAAACTAGCAAGAAATGCCTAAGATGTGTGGGACATTCAGCCCCCTATGGTAGCATGTGGCTCAGAGGTAACTGAGAAGAATCTGCCTAGGTCTCATGACTACCAAGAGAACAAGGCTCAAGATTTGATTACTTGGTTCTGATTTCAGTGGCTGCGTGCCTTCTATGACTGTTGGTCAACCTGATTCATCCAAATAATTTACACAAAATTGAGTTATTGGATGTTGTTCTATAATCAAATTATAAATTTTAGTAGTGCAGTATAAATTTCCTTTAAAATTATATTACGTTTGTTTGGTGTGTGTGTGTGTGTGTGTGTGTGTGTGTGTGTGTGTGTGTGTGTGTAGGGGACATGTGTATGCCATAGTATTGTAAGACTTTTCTAGAAAGGCAGGACACTGAGACTTTATTCCATGAAGTAGAGTTTATTTCATGCCAGCAGATGCAGCAGATTTGTGTCCAAAGGCTAAGCCTTAGACACAGGGGGCATGACCTTATGTATTCTTGTTACACTGCAGTTTATTTGTCCCCCTTAATGGAAGCATACATATTTAGTTCTGATTGGGTGTTGTACATCACAGAGTCTTGGTGGAGATGTAGATATGCATGAGACTGTGGGCACCTGTAGACATTGATTTATGCCCCGCTCCTCCCTTTTGTCTGGGCAGAGGTTGAAGCAGGTCTGCAGGAGGGGTCATCTTTGTGTCAGTAGCCTGGGGCACAGGGTGGGGCATCTCCCTGCAGCCCCTACCACAGTGGTGTACCTGTGGAGGTCAGAGAACAACTTAAAGCAATCAGTGTTTTCTTTCTACTGCGTGGGTCTTGGGGATCCAACCCAGGTCATGAGGTTTGCAGCCTTTACCCACTGAATAGTCTTGCGACCCAAGTATAACATTTTTCTTAAGACGTGTAGAAATGTTGAGAGTCCCAGTCATAGCAATCAGAAGACAGTAACATCTAGCTTTTAAAATCTCTTCTTGTGTCATAAACTGCTCTGTAGAATCATTTCGTATACTGCACCATGTGTGAAAGTATGTCTACATAGCAATGATTTGTTGTCACATTGTCACAAACCTTTCTTTGTTGGCTTTATAGGATATCTCTCGTCCTCATGGTCTTCGTGAATTATGGAGGTGGAAAGTATTGGTACTTCAAACATTCAAGTTGGAACGGTAAGATACTTTGTAAAGGTCGTGTTGCTTCTAGTTCACCGAGAGCACTGCAGACACACAAGGACTTAGCAGTCCCTCTGGGAACTCCAGGGTCTGCTGGCCTCTTCTGAGCCACTGAACTGCTTGCATAGAATGACCCTGAGCTTTCCATGGGGCCCTTTGGTTTTGTTCTTCCTTTGTAGAGCTGTAATGTGTGGATCCAGAATGCTTCAATGTGATGACATGAAGACTCAAGATTTCTGCTGTGAGACTGTGGGTCTCAGCAGAAAACGTAAAAGATTTGGTTTGAAATGATTGTTGTTACAGCCTAGCTATGACAACCGCCATATTCTTGGGGATTCTGCCTTGTAAGACAGGGTTTTTCTTGAGGTGCTACTGAACTAGGATTAGTTTGAGTGGTACGCAGTTAATAACTACAATTCTGGCTTGATAGTTGGTTGAAGAATAGATTTTTGGGGGAACCAAGAAAATCATATGGAATACTTCACTGACTTTTGAGAAATCCTGGCCATCTTTATTCTGACCAGATAATGCCTATAGAGGGCTGGGGAAGGTTCTGGAAAAGGGTTCATTGCTTTTGACTATTGGCACTCAGATTCCTTGTATTAATTACTGAGTCTGCAGGTGATGCAGCCCCATACTCAGACCTTGAGTCTTGAGCTTATAGAATTTGAGTTGTGTTTAAGTATTTGTTTAAAACAGGAGTCATGGGCCGGCAAAATGGCTCAGCAGATAAAAGTGCTTGCCACCAAGACTGACAACTTGAGTTTAGTCCCCAGGCCCCATGTGGTAAAAAGAGAACACTGACTTCTGTGAGTTGTCCTCTGATCTGCACGTGTGCATGTGCTTCCCCTTCCATAAAAATATTAAAAATTTGAATAGAAAAATTTAGAACAAGAGTCCTTGTCCTTTTGTGTCTAAGTACTAGCCTCTCTTTTGCACAGTTGAGTATCTGTAGTTACATTCCATGTGAGGCGCTCTGTTGAACAGCTAACAGGACACAGTGTCTGGTGGAGGGAGAGGGTAGATTTTGAATAGTACTGCTGAAAGGTGACATGTGTCCATGTGGTTCTAGTTTTCTCCCATGAACAGCTTTGTGGTCAGGAAATGCCTTAGGGCCGAGGGATTGGTTGATGAGTCTCAAGCCAGAGTTTGTGTGTGTGGTTCCTGTCTTTGTGCACTGGAAAATATTTATATTCTAGAATCCACTTTCTTACAGTTCTTATTTTGCAGGACTGACAGTGGCTGACCTTGTGTTCCCATGGTAAAGCCAACAGATTGTCTCACTCCTTGTCTTCGAAATGCTGGAGTCCTCTCTGTGACCAGTCCTGCATCACAAGCCCTTCTATACATTGTGTTCCTGGGTAGCTCATATGCTTGAAATCATGTTTATGCATGTGTGTATAAAAGATGTATGGTGTGTGTGTGTGCGTGTGTGTATGTGTGTGTGTGTGTGTGTGTGTGTGTGTGTGTGTGTGTGTGTTCTGTGTGTGTGTGTGTGTGTGTGTGTGTGTGTGATGCTTGGAATCTAACCCAAGGCCTTGTGCTTACAAGATAAGCACTGTGCCACTGAGCTGCACCCCAGCTTGGTTGCTTCGTCTCAGAAGTCGTGATGGCTGATGGTTTTATTTATCTGAGTGCTATCTGCATTCCTCTGCTTGTCATCCATCATTCACCCTACCCCCCCTTCTACACATTGTGTTCCTGGGTAGCTCATATGCTTGAAATCATGTTTATGCATGTGTATATAAAAGATGTATGGGGTGTGTGTGTGTGTGTGTGTGTGTGTGTGTGTGTGTGTGTGTACTATGTGTGGATCAGGAATGAATGTCTAGATGAACTGAATGTTTTGTTTCTCGAGAACTTGAGAGTGTTAGTGAAAGCCTCATTATTTGGATTCTACATTCTAGCATTTCTGACAGCTACTTGGAAAGGTTGTCCTTGGAAATTCCATCTAATATTAACCAATTTTCCTCAGAAGGCAGGACTTCAAGATATTCTGTCACAGAAGGGATGTTCTGATCCCTTCCTGTATTATTATATTATCCTGACATTGCTTTAGTAGTTGACTAATAATGTGTTAGTTACTTCTCTCATATTATTATAAAATATCAAAGACACGTAGGTAAAAATTGGAAATGACCACCTATTAATAGCTTGTTGTTTTTCAGGTTTGTATTTATTATGGGATCTTCAGTTTTTTTATCAATGACCTCTATACTACAACGAGGATGTTCTAAATTCAGATTTTCGAGATTAGGCCAATTTACAAGTTTCCTGTTAATCTGTATAGGAATTATTATTGTGAACCCCAATTATTGCCTTGGTCCGTGTAAGTATTTCTGGTCCTTTGTTAGTATATAGTCAGGTCGAAATATGGAAAGTACTTTTTTTGTATATGTGTATTATTTTTTTCAGTGCTGAGGCTCAAATCCAGGATCTGAGCCCCACATGTTATAATTTGATGTAATTCTTCCTTTTCAGGTCCCTTACAAAGGATTAATTATTAGAAAAGAATGTATACTGCTGTATGCCTTTGGACATTATTATTATTGGCTCCAAACTTTAGTAATGGAAGGTACCTCTACTCAAGGCTTCCCTGTTGTATAAAAGAAAAATCTGAGGCCAAGCAAGGTCGAAGTATTGTCTTTGGGTCATGTCCATGTATTGAGGGACAGAGTAGAGAAAAACCAGGTCACTTCATGCCCAGACCCTCTCTCCTGGACCTTTTGGTTCCAGAGACTGCCAGTCTTTGTTGTTACTTTCACAAGAATCTGTCCATGGCCAGGCATGGTGATGTGCACCTTTAACCCCAGAACTCAGAAGGTAGAGGCAGGTGGATCTTGGCCAGCTAGGGCAGCATGATTAGTGAGACCCTGTCCCGAAAAAAACAAAAGAATCTGTTGTCACTTGAGTGTGCTGGCTGGAGGAGCCCTGCTTTTGTGCTCTTCAGTGACAGCAGATAGTGAGGGAAGAGCCCTTCGTGTCAGTGTCAGACGGGGAGGCAGCAGCTCTTCAGTGACAGCAGATAGTGAGGGAAGAGCCCTTCGTGTCAGTGTCAGACGGGGAGGCAGCAGCTCTTCAGTGACAGCAGATAGTGAGGGAAGAGCCCTTCGTGTCAGTGTCAGACGGGGAGGCAGCAGCTCTTCAGTGACAGCAGATAGTGAGGGAAGAGCCCTTCGTGTCAGTGTCAGACGGGGAGGCAGCAGCTCTTCAGTGACAGCAGATAGTGAGGGAAGAGCCCTTCGTGTCAGTGTCAGACGGGGAGGCAGCAGCTCTTCAGTGACAGCAGATAGTGAGGGAAGAGCCCTTCGTGTCAGTGTCAGACGGGGAGGCAGCAGCTCTTCAGTGACAGCAGATAGTGAGGGAAGAGCCCTTCGTGTCAGTGTCAGACGGGGAGGCAGCAGCTCTTCAGTGACAGCAGATAGTGAGGGAAGAGCCCTTCGTGTCAGTGTCAGACGGGGAGGCAGCAGCTCTTCAGTGACAGCAGATAGTGAGGGAAGAGCCCTTCGTGTCAGTGTCAGACGGGGAGGCAGCAGCTCTTCAGTGACAGCAGATAGTGAGGGAAGAGCCCTTCGTGTCAGTGTCAGACGGGGAGGCAGCAGCTCTTCAGTGACAGCAGATAGTGAGGGAAGAGCCCTTCGTGTCAGTGTCAGACGGGGAGGCAGCAGCTCTTCAGTGACAGCAGATAGTGAGGGAAGAGCCCTTCGTGTCAGTGTCAGACGGGGAGGCAGCAGCTCTTCAGTGACAGCAGATAGTGAGGGAAGAGCCCTTCGTGTCAGTGTCAGACGGGGAGGCAGCAGCTCTTCAGTGACAGCAGATAGTGAGGGAAGAGCCCTTCGTGTCAGTGTCAGACGGGGAGGCAGCAGCTCTTCAGTGACAGCAGATAGTGAGGGAAGAGCCCTTCGTGTCAGTGTCAGACGGGGAGGCAGCAGCTCTTCAGTGACAGCAGATAGTGAGGGAAGAGCCCTTCGTGTCAGTGTCAGACGGGGAGGCAGCAGCTCTTCAGTGACAGCAGATAGTGAGGGTGCCTGTCTCTACTTCCCATGGGATGACAAGCATATGCCACTATGCCTGGCTTTTCTACATGGGCTCTGAAGATAAAACTAAGGTCCCTTACTACTGATCTGTCTCCCCAACCCCAGAAATCTTAGTTTTTAAACAAGAGGAAGAAATTCACTAGATGGTTTCAGAATTTTTATAGTTCTGAGTGTGCCACTGTGTTTCTGCTGATGAAATGCATTCTACTGCTTTTTTTTTTTTTTTTGGTTGTTAGCCTTAGCCTTTAACGGCTGCGCTATCCCTCCAGCCCTCTACTGCTTTTTAAAATTTTTATTTTCATTTTAT